TTTCTGTTAACTAATGCGTTAAATGGGAAAATCTTTTGAGATGGAGTTTTTTCAATAATTTTTTTTTTCTTTTTTCAAAATAGTAGCACGATTTTTCCCCCATAATTTATCACTTGTCAACCTAATTCAAGTACATTATAACCCGTGTAACTAATATTTTTTTAATTGCTACTCTATTTAAACTATATCTTTAAAATTGTTTCCTATTGGCCCGGTGAAGTTAGATTTTCAAGGTTGCAATAATTTGCACAAAGCTGAAAATTGGTACGAGTGTTACGAACTTCATTATAAATGAAATTTGAAAAGTCCTCATCGATCCCAGAACTGTAAAAAAATTATTGAAGGTCAAAGGTCACATAAATTTATTTTTACCATTTTTCAGCTAAGCGGTAAGGTTTATCTTAAAAATAGGTTAGACAAAAGTGTAGATCATGCAATTATCTCTAAAAATCGTTATGACACTTTTCTTCCTAAGAATCACCATTCCTGGGATAAAACGACTAGATCGACATCCATTTTGTAATAATTCATTTAAGTTATAAAATACTTTGAATTGAAGCTAATTTTTTAACAGGTGGTGGTATGAAAAATTCAGTCTGTATGGGAGGTGCCATGGGGCCTTTTCCAAGAACCCACATTTTTTCCATGAGTATAGTATTGATTTCATATACCTCCATGCCAAGTTCCACTACTCTTCTACACAAATACTTCCAGAGGTACGCAGTATGAAAAATTCCATTTGGATGGTAGGTGCCACGCCTCTTTGGCTAATTGAGATAAAAGCTATCCTATAATTTATGTTGAACTAAATGACACTAGTGTGCAAAATTTCATCAGATCGCTCATGAAGTTATACCTTAATGAAAAGTAGATTTTATGATTTCCCGATTTTTTCGATTTTATCAAATAAATTCGTCATTTAAACCGTGATTTTTGCTATGAATAACTGTTTACTGGTATTTACACATACATAAAAGTAGTATTAACGAAGGTATAGAAATCGCACTTGGCAGTACAGCTGCTTTGTGGCGGCAACAATAAGCCAGTACGCAAAATGTCACCATCTCAAAAGATTTTCCCCCACATACGCTTAGTAATACAAAACGTTTATGTGCGAATTCAAAAACTATTCATCATTTTACATAGGGCTCCTGAAGAAATCTAACGCATAATCGTTTCACATGCGAGCAGTTTTCTCTTTCTTTTTTCGACCACGAAAATAAGTTCACGCGTCTTTCTTCGCCGTCAACTAAGTTAACAGTCTTTCTTCGCTGAAGTTTTTTTTTGTGTGTCTTTTCGCGGTCAACTTTTGAGCTCGCGCCCTTATTCGTGTCTAGTGACGGTATAAATCCGAACAGGGACTTGCTGGAGGCGAAACCTTTACCTCGGCACCACAGAAGACATATCTGCGAACTAAAGGACGAGGTCCAGGAAGATACATACGCAACAATCACTGGTCCCGCCACTGTATAGACAGGCAATAAATAGCATTTACTAGAGTACAATACCCCCTGTAGAAGGAAGTGAGCTTCAACTGCCGAGAGAGACCGCAGTAACTCTTGCTCAAATTGCGTTCTGAATATAGTAGTAATTTAAACTCCTATTTGTCCAAAGTAAACCCCGGCATACCCAGCCTATGTCCGGCATGTCAATCTTCTAATCATGGCACCAACCACCTCTTCACATTCACACTCAACCCAACTTAACTAAGATCCCTCACCATCCGTCAAAACAGTATTGTTCCGGGAACTACCGTTAGTTGAGATTGACGACAACGATTGAAGGACTATCCGATGTTAGGCAGGGCTAAATATTCACTACAGCCACAATAACTGCAAGCGATCGTTTGCTGGAGCAAATAGCATGTCTTTCTAGAACTCTCTCAGCATTTGGTTTCGCGCTGTTCGTGGAACCCGCCTCATATACATAAAAAAGAAAATGTGCTGAACTAGAGATAGGATTTACGGGTTTTCACCTGGAATAACCAAATTCTCTATAGGGAAGATGCATCTATCCCACTGCTGGATTCTTCAGAAGCAATAAAGAGCGTGGGTCAGCCAGCGCGATTAATGTTTGACATCAAACAGTTGCAATAAGGGCAGATATTTCTTATTCGGGTATACGTGATACCGTCAGGTAAGGAGAAAGGAAAGACATATGTTTAAAAAGTAAAAAATTTAGTTACAAAAAGGCTCGAGTCTAAAGACCTTGAGAAACTGAGAGGCCCAAATGCGAATCGAAAAATTTTAAACGCCCGGGGTACACTTTAGATTCTGAGGGCACAGTTGTCAACGCTTTTCAAAAATGAGAAGACTAAGAATTTTTGGGAGAACTATTCTACGAAAGACTTAGGGCTGTTCGCGTGGGGTATTGAGAAAAGATCGAATAACGAACGCACTACAGTCGGGTCTACACAACCGGAACGACACAGAATTTCAACTAGCCATCACTCAATTCTTTTATTCTGATATATAGATAACAGCTTTGCTGGTACATCAACAAATTAGTACGAGGTACTTATGATATTTTATATGTAAACATCTGTATCGCGAACTAGTCTTGAGCTATACCCGAGCTAGTCCCGAAAAAGTTCTGAACTATTCCCGAAAGTCCCGAACTGGGCTCGAACCAAACGTGACAAAATCCTGAACTAGTTACGAAGTGTTCGCGCAAAACTCCTGAATTAGTCCCGAAATGATCCCGAACTAACCCGAATTCACCTTGGATTATGCGGGATGGTTTATGCAAATTTTCCTCATACCGGGCTCTACATTAAAAAAAACCCCAAGTAAAATTCCGGCCTTCCCATTTTATCATTACACCACTGTGATGTACATCCCTAAAACTATGCAATGAAAAGTTGTGGACGGTTACAAAATTCGCGTTGTGGAATTCTCTTAGGGCCAGTTTTTCAGTGTCAGTTTAAACTGAGTTTAAATTGAACAGCTAACTGACATTTGATTGGCTGATCTTAGTTTCAATCAGCCAGACCGGGCGTTTAAACTTAGTTAAAACCACGGCCGTGCACTGAAAAACTGGCCCTTAATGATGCAATAATACAAGGTGTTATCGGTTGGCAGCTTCTCTCTCTAATTCAGCCATATTGACTGCCTTAGGTGAAACAGTGTTACTTCTTTAACAATTCTTTGCCTAATAATATGTATATTTGAATGTTTTTTATGTTTTCTCAGTATACAAATTTTGTTTTCTTAAAAAGGTATTTTATCTTATTTTATTTTATTTCATTACGAATATACTATAAAAAAAAAAAACAAATTTTGTTTAGAAGAAAATATGAAATTTTATATTTTCGCCCCAAACGGGGATTCATTTCTTCCCGTTTTTCTTCTTATTATACTTAGCTAAGGCAGTGTCAAAACGAGCTGTCACAACTTATACCACCTTGTATTATTGCATCATGAGCAAATACTACAACAACGCCAACAATTCTCGATAAATACAAATTCTAAAATCTCCAACGATTCGAAAAATGGAAAAACTAAAATTGCTAACAATGGGTGTCTCTCTTACGAATTCGAATTCGTCTATCTATCGCCACGAAGTATCGTCTCCATAGTTCCATCCCAACAAACATTTAGATATGCGCTCAGCTTGAGGTTCAGTTGAGAACTAAGCGATTTCATAAATCTGTCACGTTTTTTCTCAACAGGAGCTCAAGTGGAAAATCACGGCGTTCTCAAAAATAAGGGCTTTTTTTGTATGAAAATAAGACGTGTTTCTCAAGTTGACAAACTTTTAGCAGAAATTGTTGAACATTCGCATTAAACATTAAAATGATGAGAATCACTTGCATGAGCGAATGCGAATTTTTTCCAGCTAGCCAACCGATATTTGGCATAATTTCAGGCGGATGTTAAATGAAGGAATGCAGTGTGGCTATGCAAGGGCAATGCATGCACAGGGTGGCCACGACGATTTTACCATTCCGCTATTCGAAAACCCTTTTTTGATGATACATTTCCTAACGTTATTTTTTGTAGTCTGCTTTTAATCAGATTTTAAAATTTGTAATTTTTCAAATAATTAGGAATTTTTTGCGTAAATTTAAGTATAATTTACCCCCTATTCTAACAAACTCACACAACTAAGCGCATCAAAGCGCTGTGTGCATTTCCTTAGCACTTAAAATCGAATTTTTGTGGCATATTGTCAGGCGCAGTAAAAACACACGATAGTGATGCGCTGAGTTTTGTAGCTTTGTTAGAATAGGGGGTTAGTGACTGTATCAAAGTAGCTAAAGAACACCGTTGATTACTTATAAACAGATAAGGGCAAAAATTGCATGAACTTTGAATTTAAATAAATCGACCTATCGCTTCCATTTTTAGTAGGAAGCAGTTACAAATTGTCTGCTGGGTTAACCCATATTTTAGCCATATGGAAAGGAAAGGTCAACAAAAGATAGATCAACAACGAGAGCCACTAACCTCAGTAGGATGGTCAGCTGCAAATCGTGACCTAATCTCTCCAAAGCTGGCACACCTTCCACCCGTAGAATATTGATCTTCTCGCGCAATGAACGTGAAACTGTATTCTGTCCATGTCGTTCACGCAAGATTTCCAAAATGTTGGGTTGACGCAAAAACGCTATAACCTGCAAAATAATATAAAATCAGCGTATGATAAACTGCAAAGTTTATTAGTAAATATTTACCTTTTCATTGTATGCAACAGGTACCTCGTTGTACTGCTCGTAATTACCAACACCGCCAGCAGCACCACCACTGGCGCCACCTATTGCCCCATTTGGACCACGCATGCTGCTTACCGGTCTTGGAGGTGGCAGTGGTGGGACACCAGAGGAAGACATGCAATTGCCATCGAAAACGTCGTAATGAGAATTTTGTTGGTGCTGGTACTGTTGACGTTGATGTGAGTGTGGCTGATGCGCATGTGAAAGATGAGCCGGTAATTGTGGTGACTGATGGGAAGGATGTTGATGCCGTTGGCGTATTATACGTGCACTTTCTATTGGCAAGCGTGGATCCATGAATGATGTTTTACGGTTATTATGATCGATGAAGAATTGTTTACCGGATTGATCGAGTTTGGTCTCCCAGCATGAAGGTAAGTCTCGATTAAGCTGTGCGAATGTATTTACTAATGCGACTAAATCCTTGTTGTATTGGTAACGTTGAAAACACTGCGGATCACGGCGTATACGTATAATCATATGTTTAAGTGCTGGATTGCGATTATAAATTGATAAAGCATCTTCGTTAGTGTGCAGCATAGAGTAGAAGTCTGGACGACAGAGCATTATAACAGCTGGATGTACCGAAATATTGAGCATTTGTAGATGGCCTAAATTATTATTACTAGAGGTATTTTGATTGTTGTGCATTGTGTTTGCAAGTTGATTGGCAGTGTTATTACAAACGGAACTATCGTTCGCACTATAGCCAGAAGCATTCGAGAGCCGATTTTCGCTGGTAATGGTACGTCGAATGGACTGATAACGTCGGTCCAATTGTTGTCGATGATGGTGTTCACGTCCTAGAAATGTGAAAAGTGGAAAACCAATATTAAATATTGACGTATTTTGGTTTTGGTTTTGCTTTGGCGGCATAATTATATAAATTCGCCTTGATCATCATATATAATTTTAAGAGCGTGTGTGAATCGGTAACAAAGTTCGCATCGAGTAAATTTTTGACAACTATCAGGTGAATTAAATTTCAGTAGCTATGAGGCTCCCTGCAAAACTCGAATGACTGAAACTAGAACACATTCACAGAAATTTTCGATTGTCACTAATACATAAATAGTACATGTGAGAATTCCCTATGAAAAAATCTTAGAATGAAACAACATCTTATAATTTTTGAACTGCTTTATAATATCTTATTCACTTGCACACGTTGCATGCATATGGATGGTGAAATTTCGCGGAAAGAAAAATTAACAAAACACAGCAATCGTGACTTGCAATTAATTTGTGAAATGTGCGGCTTGGCGTTCAGCCATTTAAATAAAAATTTATTTCAGCGGTTCTTACAAGTAAGTAAAGACCGCAATAAAAATTATTATAAAACTATGTATATTTAATGCATCTTTTATTGTGCAGTTGCAATTACAAAATTGTGCGGCTCGGCGTTCGAGCATTTTTATAAAGATTTCAGCGGTGGAAAATAAGCGTTGTGTGCCTTTGTTTCAAACTTACAAGTAAGTAAAAATAGCGATAAAAATTGTTATAAAACTATGTATATTTAATGTGTCTTTTATTGTGCAGGTCCAGCCCAGTTTTTGTGTGCAGCATTTTCGTTCGGTGGTTTAAACTTGGCCAGGTGTCGTGACCCTATTAATTTGTCCG